TCAAAAACACCTTAAGTGTGAAAAAAAAGTGCGGCCAAAAAAGGATTGAGTGTGTGACTTAAAGGAGTAAACATGTTTCATCTCATCTAATCAAAAACACCTTAAGTGTGAAAAAAAAGTGCGGCCAAAAAAGGATTGAGTGTGTGACTTAAAGGAATGAGATCAAAATTGGCGGCCAAACTGATAGCTACGCTTATAGCATTGATAAGAATTTGACAGCAAATATTCATCCTTTAAGTCACACACTCAATCCTTTTTTGGCCGCACTTTTTTTCACACTTAAGGTGTTTTTGATTAGATGAGATGAAACATGTTTACACAGATAGATAGGCGTGTGTGTGTGTGTGTTAGATGGTTGGGTGAATGTGAGCGTATTTACTATGTCCTATATGATTGGCTCGCGTTCATTCATTACGTAAAGTTTCACACTACATCTGTACGCTTTATATCATGTACAAAGCGCTTGTACTATACTTTACACAGACTAGTCTGATAAAATTAGTTTCAGATTACTCTATAACATTATTAGGCTGTTTATAAAGCTTCCTACGAGTGTTGTTGCATACACAAAGTTTTCTAACAATGAATTATCAAGTTCTACATAATCAAGATAATTCATAGTTGCAAAAACCGCAAACTTCACATCTTAGAACTTCGAAGAATCCAAATTAAATATATCACCAAGAACAACTTAAAAAGTTATTTAACTAAACAAGAAAAAGACGTTTCTAATGACTGATATTCGCTAGTATAATTCAATTTTACACTATTTACCTTAACAGTTTCTATTCAGTTTCATGTATTTCAATACCTCACACACCTGAGTTTTGTAATAACAAATCGATTACGTTAATTTGTCCCCTACTTATGTAAAGTGTACATTTTAATGGTTTTTCCTTGATTAATTCGTAGATTTGAACTTGTTGATCTTCTGTTGAATGAACAACAATCCTGCTACTGACATAAAAAAATTTTGCATTATTTTTTTGATTATCGCTCATTTTTCCGGTTTGCAGAGCGACCAAATTTGGATATTTGAAATGATTTATTTCAATCAAACACAGTTATAAAATATCAAGAGTTAAGGTTATTGGTAATTTTGGTTAACTCCGTATTCTCTACGTTATTATTATTATGAAAACATAGGATACATGTTTCGAAATGTGTAATATTATAGATACTACAGAACAAAAAAAAACAACCACTCAGTTATCTGTCACGTGATTATCAGTCATGTAATCTGAAACATGAGTGATTGGTTATTCAGCCTATAATATATATATACAGAGAGAGGCCTCTTACAATAGTATCTCTGTTGTCACCTTGAAGTGAGTCAGAGTTCAAAGTATTGTTAACGAACCTCGCAAGAGACGTTTCGATGTATTACTCATGTTGAGAGCCACTGAAAAAATGGAAGCTAGCCAATAACGGCAGCTGTTGTGAATTGACTCCAAATATATCAAATCGTTAGTAGCAGGTAGAACTACTTTCAAACTGATGCAACAGTTATTCGTATACCGAGGCAAAGCAGATCATCATCTATGATACAAGCAGACGATTCTGTCTCGCCGCAGTCGTAGTGTACATGTTACGAGTTTGAATCAAATGTTCGTAGCCGCAACTGCAATGGTGCCCGGAACACATCCAGTGGAAGAACAACTAGAGCAATATAGTTATGATGCATCATGGACAGATAGCAGACATAAGCAATAGACACCATTAACAGCATATCTGATAAGAACCACATCCTCCAACCTTGTATGCTACCGTCTAGTGGTGTAGTTTGCCTTCACATCAACCTAATGGGCAATGACGCTAAATCGACAGACATATTTATCGAAGAAAAAGCCATGGTCAAGTGACGTGACCATCATGTTCGTGGTTTCACATTGCGTTAAGCCCGAACTTTGGCTAATGGTTAGTGTGGGGATCCTTGGTCTCGGGTTCGAGATGTGGTGATACCAAACACACCTCACATTTTCAACTGTGGGTGCCCTGTAAGAGTGAGTCAGTCAGTCCCACTATTTGGTTAAGAGTAGTCACTTTAAGCGGCGGGTGGTGCCGACTGGTTGCCTTTTCTCTGGTCTGCCTGAACCATAGGGTTTCCGAACTGGTCATTTAACCCACTGTGTGTATAAAGTGTCGTTCAGGTGGACAAACAAACAGCTTCCAATGACTCCAGATATTAAAGATGCACTGTATAAACCTCCTTCAGAAGAGTGACTAAGGACTTTATCAACATTTTGATTTTAAACTTATTTTGTTGAGCGTGGTAACCATGCTCCATACTGAAGTGAAATGTCATGCCACTGTGAACTGCTGCTTCCTTCCATTCGGTTTCATCAAAGAGTTTCGCTGAGCCCTTGATGATCCAAGGTTATATATAGACACTTTGTCGTCCAATCTTAGCTGGTAATGAATCACAGAACAACTGTAGAAAGGTAGACCTATGGGCTGAGTTCATTATTTGATACCCACGGAAATGTCAAAGTGAGTTAGACGTCAATTTTAAATTGTGGACTGCTTTTATTGCAATTAACACGTTGACTGCCATGTGCCTCACCGGTGGGTCACAACCGACTTTTAGTTATGGACCGCTTGACACACCGGTAGTTCATAGACAATTATGTTTTAAAGCCAAATTTCTCTTGTGGCATACGAGTTTGGGTCACTGTGACTGCTCCTCGGCTCCTGTTTATTTTTATTTACACTTCATTTATTATGTGGCAGCCAACTTGTTAACTTTGCATTGTTGGAGTGCTCTGGTGTGGTGACGGATTTTGGCACATATTGTTCATGCAATATTTCATAATTCTTGTAGTGGTGCAATACATCGAACAAATATGAAACGCAAACTGATGAGAAATATTAAATTGTTTTAATAGTAACTAAAAGTAATTAGAATTGGAACAAAATAGTGGAATAAAATGGCACTACAGTAATGTAACCAGAGATATACACACACACACACACACACACACACACACACACATACATACATACATACATATATATATATAT